TCCACTCCCATTTGCAGCTTTGGAGGCTTCCCTAGAACTCTTGCTTGCCCCCACATAGTTGGTAGTCCCATTATCCCTTAGAACCCTCGACACATTGTCCCGACACATAGGCGCTCCATGTAGGCAGTCCACAGCATCACGCCACAAAAACTATAGTACATTGTCCCAACACATAAATACCTCATGTAGACAGTCCCCAGTGTTACCCCACAAAAACTATAATACATTATCCCGTGCTCCCAAGCCCAGTCACAGTCAGCCCAGACAGTCTCCCCACGTTCCACAAAAGCAAGACACACAAACGAACAAACCCTATGGTCATGATCACTTTCACAGGGAGGCGGTCCAAAACTTATAGCCATTTGCCTGCCTTTCAGGCTGTCATTTCCTCAGTTTCCCTGTCCTGGGCTTCTTGTAACCATTGTTCCACCGGATCCCTGCTAAACAATCTGGCCAATCTCTGTCCCGGAAATGATCTTTTTATGCTAGTACCATCAAGATCCTCAAGTTCGAACGTATTCAGTCCCACCCGCTTAGCGATCCTGTAAGGTCCTTTGAATCTCTTTCTCAGTTGCCCACACCATGTGCTTTCAAGGGCCGAGTTTCTAACTAGCAATTTCTCCCCCACCTGGAGTGGCTCTTTCCGAATGTTCTTGACCTGGTCCCCCCTTGCTTTGTCCTTCATTCGGTTATCCGTTTCACCATTAACTACTTCCTCCGATGCCTCCTCATTCCTGGCGACCTGCTGGCAACGTGCGGTGATTAACTCCTCCGTGGTTAAGTGCAGATTATCGTCTAACATGTTCCTGGTAGGGACGAGGGCCTCCACTGGGAAGTCAATCTCCCTTCCATACCATAGCTCCACTGGAATGCATCCCGTCGTTCTCTTTGGTGTCATGTTATCAGAGAAGATTGTCTACTTAAGGTACCGTGGCAAGTTCCCCAAGTTGTCTATTGCAAGCTTAGCGATTGTGTTTTTTAAGGTCCGGTGGCCCCTTTCTACTGGTGCATTTGCCTCAGGATGGTGAGGCTCAATAATCTTGATTGGCACGCACAATATCTTAAGCCTGTTCAACACCTCCTAGTTAACGAACTCTGTCTCATTATCTGCTATAAACCTGGGCACGTAGGGGTGTCTTAGATAAAAGTCTTCCACCCAATCGGCCACTGCTTTTCCTGTCTTCCTCTTGAGAGTTACGGCCTCTACGTAGCCACTGAGGTTATCCCTTGCATCCAAGATGTATCTAAACCCATCCATCGATACGGGTATAACCGCAAGATCGAGGTGAACAAGGTGTCCGGGTCGCAGTACACGAGTGACCCTAAGGGGCTCGTAAACCCGTACGGAGCTTCTCTCCTGACATATCAGATACATCTGACAGTACGTTGCGACCATGCCTGCCATTCCTGGCCAGAAATACAGGGGCACGATCTTTGCAAGTGTCCCTTTCGACGATAGGTGACCTCCATCTAGCCCATCATGCATTGCCCGAATTACGTCCAGCTGCCTAGACCTCCCAAACACGACTCGCCTAGGCGTCATCCCTTCCTCTTTCTTAAACAGGTGGTCATTCCTTAAGACATACTTCTCAGCTTCCTCCCTTGCCTTGGAACTGACTTCCGAGGGTTGTTTGTTCCCTACAAGCAGCTGACCGATTTCTCTAAAGACGCCCTCATACATCTGTATGAGAAAGAATTATTGTTCCTTCCGATCCGTATCCTGTTCTTCCCGGGTCTGGTTGACTCAATACTGACATTCCTTTTGCGCCCAGGTTTCGGCCAACGTCATCACGGCGTCCCGTCCCCCTTTCACGGCCATTGCCATCAGTTCCTCTTTGGCCCCAACTTCTGCTCCCCACGAGTCATTCTCCTCTTTGCGCCTGACCGTGGTGACTGATCCTTCCCTGAGTTCTGCAACTACTGCAGGCGTGCCCTTTTCCAAGGTCTAAATCAGCAGCTGGCCTGTTGTAAGCGTTGAGTCGGTCATTTCGTTATCCACAACAAGGGGCCCCCCTTCGTAATCTAGGAAGGCGTCAATCGGTTCCGCGTCCTCTATTCCCTCCGGCGTGATGCATACCCTACTCATCCCATCTACCCTGTTTCGAAGCCCTGCGATCCGCTCGACCTTGTAGTCGAACTGCCATATGAAGCCTATCCATTTGCCGACGGTCAGATCTATAGGCTTACAATTCTTCAGTGCCCCGGCAACATTGGTGGGATCGATCCTTAAGACGAATCGTCTTCTGAACAGATATGCCTGGAAGATCTTCAGGCAATGTAGGATGGCTAAAACCTTCTTCTTGAACTGCGAGTACCGCCGTTCTGCCGAATTCAAGGTCCTACTCTCGAATCTGATCGGTCTTTCCTTGCCCTCCTCGCTTTTCTGTATCAATACGCCTCCTACTGCTATTGGGCAACCATCTGTCTCTAGGATGAAGGGCCGTCCTACTTCGTCATTGAAGCAGGGTGCTGATAAGATAACCTGATCAGACGACAGGATGTCTTTAGGATCTGGACTGCCTTTTTCCTATCCTCGGTCCAATCCATAGTGCCACCTTTCCTAATCATCGCGCGGATAGGTTCTGCTATCTTCGTGAAACCTTTGATGAAGATCCTCCGGAATCCAACCACCCCTAGGAAGGCTCATACTTCCGTCGTGGTACGCAGGGGTGTCGGCCACTGAGAGATCTTATCTATCTTTGCTGGGTCGGGTCTCCTCCCATAGGCCCCACAGCGAAATCCCAGTATAGTTACCTCCGGGACAGCCAGGATACTCTTTGGCCCACTTGCGGTAATATTATAGAAGAACCGCTGTAGAAGATCCTTGATATCCTGCAGGTGATCCCAGACAAATTTTCGCACACCCGGCTCGACCTCCGTCTCATCCTTGTACCTTGCGCCTTTTACTGCAACTGTCCTATGGGGGTGTGCATTGCAGTGTACGGTCTATCCCTCGCATCGAGCGGCAACTGATCATATCCTGAGTACAAGTCTACCAGGGAGTAAATGCTCCGCCCCGCATGAGATTCTGCCAACAAGTCGGCCTGTGGAAGCGAGCTTGCATCCCTAATTGTTACCGCATTAAGCTTCTGCAAGTCCTGGATCCACCTGAGCGTCTTATTGGGCTTCCGGAAAACGAACCACTTGTTTGCATAAGGGTATGCGGTGGGCTCGGCTACGAACGAATCTATCTTGGCCCTAAGCAGGTCAGTGACTTCCGCTGCTATCCCAAACTCGTAGGCAGACCCTTTATCATTCCAGCATTCATGCTCTACCATGTGGATCCTAACAGGCGGAACTAGCTTTGCGTCCAACCGCCCTTTCTGGTGGTCATTGAAAGCGAAAGATAAATGGAACTTCTGACACGCCTTCCTTATCAACTGAGTTTCCTCTGCTGTTAGAAACCCTTCCACTCCTATTTTCATGGTATTTACTACCTCCTCAGGTATCCGATGCCCTTCCGTTGCTCGCCTCTCCCTTATAACCCATAGGATTTCCTCTTCCTTTTCTGTGGCCTCTTCCTTTGATGTTTCTACCAGGATCGAGACCGGTTTGGCCTTCTTGCCTACGGGTTTGTACTTTCACACACAATTTCTTCCGGGATCGTTCTCCAAAAAAAAATGAACGTCGGGATCGGCCTTGCTACCTCCAAGACGCGGGGCTGGATGCTGACTAGCTTCCCATTCAGATAGTAGCCCTTTCGGACCCCATCCTCAAATCTAGCAAGCGCTGCGGGGTCCACCCCCACTTTGTGATACCTGATGGCCTTAACGAGTTGTAACAAATCTGGGATTTCAAGCACCACCTCCGACGTTTCGTTTCGGCCTTCCTTTGGTTTGAGCAGGCTGGCTCCAAGTTCGACTTCTGACTCTTTTTCTGCCACCATAACTTCCAGGGCCTCGTCCTCTTGCCTCCTCTTCTTCAGGGGTAGACCCATCTTGATCCACTCCTTCTAGCTAAAGACTTCCTCAATCATGTGTTCTACTCTTTCTTTCGTACCTTCCATCCGTGCGATTGTGCATTTCCGTGCACTTTCTTCAAACGTCGGCGACTAGGTTGCTTGTTTACCCTTGGGAGGGTCCCCTCCAGTTCCGAGGAGTCGGAGAAGTTCTCCACGGCCTGTCACCGGATCCTCTATGTCTACCATGTACGTGCCATCATACAAGTGCATGCCAATCATTTCTACATTGGCGCACCAAGGTCTCCCAAAGATTATGTCGTGGTCCATTTCTTCAATGACGGTCATCCGTTGGAAAAACCAGATGGATTCCCGAATTCCTGCCCTGACCGCACATTTGGTAACATACCCAGTGAAGAGAATTTCTCCGCCTGCTCCCCTGATACTCCCTGCTACTCCCTGCTACTTCCTTGTTTATTGTGCACCCCGTGATCGTTGCGTATGAGGGTAATTTTTGCGCCGCCATCCACTAATGCATCGGTGTGGTGGGTTCCGACCTGGACTTTAAGTTTTCCTACAGGCAGTGCGTGGAAGCTAAGTTTAGTGTCGGGCGGTGCTCTCATTACTTCGCCACCTTCTCGGTCCAGCAGACTCAGACGAATATCGGTAAAAACTTTTTCCAAGTCTTCCAGGCCCTCTGGAATGCTTTGGAGGTTAGAGACTCCTTGTGGCACCTCTGCCTCCTCGGGTCCTTGTTCCTGTGGTTCCGAAGCCTCCTCTACTTCTACATGTCTACACGTCAGTAGCTGCCTGAGGCCCTTGAGCAGTCTCGGGCTTGCCTGCAGCATGGTCTGGAAGGATACTGAGACCATGGTGCCGAGAAGTTTGCTCAGTGCGTCATCTAATTCGGGCAGCGTCAGAATCGGAATTTGGTATCTGAACTTTTTTTTTGCCGCCGTGGCTTTGTCTACCGGTTCCTCTTCCGTCGTTTTTCCATAGACCTTCTCTTGTTCCCCGGCCTCAACTTCCTCCTGATCCACACTAGTCCCCGCGGCTTGTTCCATTACTGTGTCTCGGATGAGCTTATTTTCCGCGCCAGCCCGTCGGGTAGTAATATTTACTCTATCCTACCCATTGCCTTTTAGGATAAAATTGGCATGTGGTCCTCGTCCGCTTGGCTGGTCCCAGTCAATCTCGGCTATCGGCTCTGCTTCTACGGCAGCTATCTCTAAGTTATTCCGGAGGATGACGACTCGCTGCATCCCTCCTGGCGAGTTCCAATTGACACGCTCTCCCCTGGGTCCGAGGATCTCGCCTTTGAGGGACCTGCTACACCTCTGCCGCTCGATATCGTGATTGAGTCTCAGATAGACCCGTACAAAATGCCTGATCATGGTGCAATACTTGCATTGTTCGTTGGTCGGGTTCCTCCTGCCAAATCCCCGGTTTGCTACAGCTGCCGGGACCACGGCCTCTTGGGGCGGGAGGACGGGTCTGGACACTTGGGCCTGCATTACTAACAGCGCATTTTTCATTCTTTCCATCTTGTTGTTAACCCCATGCACTCGCTCGTGCAAGCTTTCTATCCCTTTCTTAACCTTATTTCCCGTTTTCCCGGTCAGATATATGACCTCCCCTTCCTTAAGCAGGGCTAGTGTCTCGGTGACCACTGTCTTTTCCGCAAGGTCTGTTACGGTGCTGAAGTCTACATCTCTCGTGTACTCGAACTTACTGGTCTGCTGGTATGCTGACAAAATCTTATCCTTATCAAACTCGAAGAACTGCCTAAGGAAGTATTTACTCATTATGTGGTCCGTTACCCCAGGAATTCGCAGAGCCACTAACGTAAAGACCCTTAGGAAATCGTTGTAAGTTGCATAGTTTTTCCTTTCGACTGCGGCTAATTCGGCCTCTGTTGCCATTTTCTCTGCCTTCAGGTATTTCCTCATCATCTCGTTCCTGGTTTCTTTCCAGGATCCACTGGACGCGACGATGGCCATAATGTCCCTTCCCAAGCTTAGCGACACGTGCTGCCCTAGGGGCTCAATCTTTTCCTCTTTCGTCCATTTTAGTAAAGCTGCTAGGTTCTCATAGTCTATCAGAAACTCCGTAATGTTTTCCCCGTCGAACGTGAGTTTCTTCTTTGCATCTGCGACATATCCCTGGTTCTTGTTTAGTGTCCGGGTGAGGGTGGTGACTATCCTCTTGAGACCACCTTCAGAGCTACCTGCTTCTCCAGCTGCACTGGTCCCTTCCCCTTCCTTGCTTTCCCTCTGCTTCTCCTTGGTTTTCGGCATTCCTTCTGGGTCAAACCATCCTAGCACCCTTTCCCTAAGGCTCCAGAGTCCGCTGCACGCCCCTGTTACTTTCGGCGTGGCTGGCAGTCGGCTAGTGCCGCTGAGGATGGCAGGTGGGGTCATAGCGTTTTCCGTCTCCTCCGTCGGGAGGTCGTTTTTGTCCTTCCCCTTCTTACTAGGCGTTCCTTTGTGGCTATTATCCTTCCCCTCATACCTGGCCTCGTCCTGACCGGTCCTGCGTCCCTCACGTGACCCTGCGCCCTGGGGGTCCTCCTCATCCTCGACCATCATCTCCTCGATAAGCCTTGCCTTAAATTTTGCAGTCTGGTTTTCTATCTCTGCCAATTTACGACTGGCATCCGAGACTTTTGTCTTTTTAGGGGTGACTCCTGCTGAGTTCTGAGGGTTTGTTCTCATATCATTTCCCCCTCCACTGTTTTTCTGAGGTCCCCTTTTGCTACCCCCAGCTTTCCCCGAGCTTTCTCCAGCTGAGAGGTTCTTTCCGTCTTCTCGGGTTCCTTCCAGTTTGGCTGACTCTCGATCCCTTGCCGATCCCTTGTTTCATTCCCCATCCCCATTCGTGCCCTGATTCCCTCCACTCTGCTGGTCATCGATCCCTTCCTCAGTCGTCATTTCTTTACCTAGCCTTCACATGGAAAAAAAAAAAAAAAATTGCGAAAAAATGGCCGGTTGTTCGTAACTTCCCTAGTCCCGGCCCTAAAACCCACCTATTCCCATGTTTTTTGCGTCTTACGTTAATCGGTCCGACTCTCCTGACTTTTCTTTCCCAGGGCGTCCTTCAGGTTTTCTCCCGCCGGGGGACTTGCCGCCGCTGGTTGGCATTTTATTACTGCCGCGCTTTGGCTTTTAGGGCGGTGTTTGAGCCCAGTGGCCTCTTTATCGAGTATGGCCCTTTTGGCTTTTCGACCTCCAAATGCCCCAGAGTTTTATGGTGCGGGTGGTTTTCCTAGTTCCCCCTTGCAGCGTTACCGGGTCGGACGGAACTCCAACCACTACCCCCCCGTTTTTTTTGTGATAGCTGCCTTCTTATCTCAGTACCCGTCCCTTATTTTCCTATCTTTTCCCGACGCGTTTTCTCATGCTGGTCCCTCAGGCCTGTCTTGCTCGTCCAGTTCTTCGAACAGGTCGGCCACCCCAGCAAGATAGTTTTCTCCCATCTCTATTTCCCTAACGATTAGTGGTTCATACTCCTCAAAAGCCAAGCGAGGCAACCCGAATATCAAAATTTCAATCGGGTCAAGTAATTCCCAGGCCTGATTACCCCAGAACGGTCCATGCCTGACCGACACATCGTAAAATATCCCCGTTGTCTGTGGTCGAAAGTGGTGAATCCAGACCAGGGTCGAATCCACTAGGTTTCTAGCCCTCTCAAGGTTTCCAAACACCAGGTCCACCATGAAGCGGGGGACTCGGCACCTCAGCCCTGTCATTGGGGCCTTAAACTCTCGCCAACCTCCTACTTCCATCCGGGTCCTCAATCCCACATTCCTCCTCCCTCGCACTTTCTGGCCTACTCGGTTAAGTACCCTGGTAACCCTTTGAAAGATTGGTAACAACCCATGTCCTAGTGCCAGCTCCGTTCCTAACATATGTTATCCAAGCTCTGGCAGGTATACGGTTCCCGTCACCCTGAGGTCAATGTACAGATCGTCCCCTGGTCCCCTATTAATCCTCATACCATCCCATAAACATTCCACCATCATGAATGCCTGGTCCCTTCCCAGGGTCACGGCTCTCCATTCGGTATCGATCCCTCGGACATTGTAGCTTGTCGGGAGCGATACCTCCCATCCGCCCCCACATTCCGTGGGTGGCCGCGGGTGCGTGAGTCGTCGCGACATCCGGGCGCGTCTCATCGCCATTGTCGATTAGCGGGCCCCTGCACAGTTTAGACAGCAAGCGAGTTTGCTTATTCCATCCATTCCCCGGCCCTTACCTGAGCAATTCCTTGGTCCTTAGCTCAATGCCTCTTTCCCCTTCTATCTCTTTCTTTTTCTCGGCTCTTTTACCAGCCTGTTTCTACTCCCGTCGGCTCATACAATCGGTGTAAATCATCCACGTACGTCATCCCTTGACTTATTTCCCGTCGGACAATGCCCCATAGAACTTCATCACCTACGACCGGGGCCCTTGGCCTGGTGGTAAAAACGGCGCGCAGAGTCCACAACACCTCATACTCCAGGTCCCCGCTAAACGGCCCCATCTCTAGGAAAGCCCGGTAGTATTCCCGGTGTACCATTGTGTCCTCATATGTCAGAGTGGCAAGGTCAGCTACTCCGCGTCTGACAAGTTCCACTCTGCCTAGCCTTTCCAACAGGAAGGGCGGCAGTCTCATCTGTACATTTTTACTAGGCAATTCAAAACTCCCGACCATGGCTACCCTAAGGTCCGTTGTTACATCGTCAACCCCCGGATCCGCGAACTCAAATCCCGCTCACCACACTAACTGCCACGCCCCTTCAAACATGCTCAACGAGTCTTCTCCCGATGCCAGTCGGACTCCGAACTCCCTCCACCCATTTTTCGACACATACATCCGTCCTTCTGCACGCACATGCCCCCGCGGGTCCGGGTTCCACTCCCCATTCTCGTCCGTATGCCACTCAACTTTCGTCACCAAGTAAACCATATTTTCCGCAAGTTCGACTCCGACCCAATCCGCCACCTTGTGCCAGCCTCCACTTGCCGCCGGCAAGCTAACTTCTATCCCACCCGGTACTTCCGTAGGCGGTTCAATGCCCAAGGGGCGTTCCTCAAAGAACGTCCTTCTTCGCGCCATCGCCCACTCGCATTTGATCTCCTGGCTCATGATCCGCACTGAACCCTACAATGGTCAGACATCCCATTCCCTTATCTTAGCAATTTTTCTCATATTTGCCTGGCCCCATGACTTTCCTGCACTTAGTCGAACCACAGTACCTCGAACAGTTTGAACACATCGTCCACATAACAGGGTGTCGCTGCCACCTCACGGCAGATTATGGCCTCCCTAGTTTCCGAGGCCACCTCCTGTCGGTCATTCCTTTCAATCTCCAAAATGATAAGAACCTCCCGGGCTCTATCGCCGTGGAAGGATCCACATTTCAAGGACGTCCTATAGAATTTCTCTGCCAGCCATGCGTAGTTCACGTGTATTCGTTCCATCGTGTCGGCTACCTATGTTACGTGATCAAAACCCCCAAACCTGTACGCCACGAACTCGGGCACCCAGATGTTCGTTCGAGTGCTAGGCGGTTTAAATTCCTTCCATCCTCCCATCACGACTCTACTGCTGACCGTATCCCAACCTTTGTTAGCAAACCTTTCCCCCGCCTGCCGAGCCCTTGCCTCAGTGTCCCCTAAAAGCCACACCGGGTCCTGTCCTGCTGCGAGCGTTGTGCAAAACAGGTGCCAACCTTGTTCAGAGAGAACGATCGTCCCGACTGATTCCACCCTTCCTTCCGCAATCTCTTATCATCCTTCCTCTTCCCTTAACGGGTTCCAGACACGCTCTATCCATAGGTAAGATAGCTCTGGCACAATCTCATACCCTCGCCAATTACATGTAGTCCCCTTCCATTCATTGCTCGGCGGTATTGACACTCTACTCCCCTTCCGATTCATCTTGGTTCCCATGTGCAATCCCATGGCTCGAGTTCCTGGGCCATCGCTCCCTACCTGCACATAGTTGACAACCCGTTTTCCCCGGGTAAGTCCCCCCCATCAGAAGTCCCAGTCCTCTATCTCGTCCCCGTCCTCCTCATCATTGGAATCCTCCTCCTCGTCTAAGAACATCTCTTTCACCCCTTCCAAGAATGTTTCCCCTGTCGCCACATTTCGGTAAACTATCTGCCAATGCACCGGACTAGGAACAAAGACTTTATCCGCGCTGAGGAGGTTTAACACCTCAGCTAATTCTCCCGCCCAGTTTCCTTCAAACGGTCCTGCTTCCACCGACAATCTAAAGAAGTCTTGTCTAGCACATTGGTACATCCTCAGGTGTGTCATCGATCGACATATACGTTCCAGTCTATCCCTGGTCCCAAAGATTGCGTCCACCAGAAACGGGCGTAGCACGCACCTCATTGTCCTAAGAGGACGTCTCATATTTTCCCGGTCCCCGAGCTCCACTCGCACCTCCATCCTTTCCATCTCCATTTCTGCCCGCTGACATGCTGTCCATACCACCTCCCGTTCCGCTTGCCTAAACAGTTGATCCGGTGCCATGCCCAATACTAGTCCCACTACCATTGCATTTTCCAATTCCTGTGATAAGTAGACCCATCCTCGAGCTTCCACTGTTCCCCGGAATTCTAGGTCCATCAAGCTAGGTGAAAGTCTCGTCAGGCTGACCTTAGTCCAGATTGTCTCTATCCAGAGGAACGCATCCTTCTCGTCGTGCATCACGGTTTCATAGGCTGGTTCTAGGTCGGTCCACGCCCCTTCTTCCGGGAGAACAACAGATACCCCACCCCTTACCTCTATAGGCATTTCCAGACCACTAGAGTAGATAGGAGGCAACAATCATCGCGCCATCTTGTTTCTCGGCGCTTGTCCTATTTCCACATGAGAGCACCACACGGCCCCTCATGGTCAGATGGTTTCCTTTACTTTTCTAGATGAGAGTTGTTTTCAGACCCCTCATCCGGGTCTCCCTAACTTTTCTTATCCATCTCCGAGGTGCCATTGCCCTACCATACCCCCAATCGATCACCAGTGGCTCACATCCCTTTTTCTTGGTTCCACTTTCTTCCGACTCCTATTCAGCCTCTTCCTCATGTTCTCTCACTCGTGCAGACTTAGGCAGGGGTTGAGAATAGACTAGAAACTTAATTCCCCTTCCAACACTCGTCAGGCAGACTTTACAGAGGAAGACACAGGAAAAAGAAAAACTCAAGCAGTCATCGCACACCGGCCGGTCATCTCCTCACCGACCTTTTTCTTGGAAATGGTCTCTCCACTGTTACTATCGGCAGAGTTTTACCCCAAGCCTAAAGCACAGCTCAACTGTTGCGAGCGCGGTACCCAGACTCCAGTGGGGGGTCGCCCTCACCTTCTTGCCCAGAATACCCCATCCCGGCTTGCCGCTCGTGTGTCCACCGTTAATCTCGGGAATCAACCCGCACATCTTGGTAGACCATTGGAGCCAGCCGTCCAGGCATTCACTTCCATCGATCCGATAAGGGACAGCCTTTCCCAAACCAGGCTATGAGAAGCTACTGATCGCCTCCCAGACTCCGTCTTTGCCCCCATGCAGTGGTGCTCTCTCCGCCAGTCCACAGGCTAGGCCCCGCCTGAGGAACGTTTCCCACCCCGCCCGGCAGATCAATCGAGTCGA